TAGGGAAAGCATTTTGAAGGTAATCAAATGTTGAAATGCAACTAGGAAAACATGATGGGTCTTTCCCTCCTCCAGCTCCCTCCCTTCCACTTTACCTGTCCATAGCTTTAACAATTTGAATAGCTTTGCAAAACTCTGAACCCTGTGCATTGCTGCCTCAGCTCCAAACTGACGTAACTGCCCTTGCTCCTTGGCCTGCAGCAAAGCTAGGGAGATTTACATTAGCTAAGGAGCCGGCTCTTTCAGCAATACCTGCTGATGGTAGATTTTGGGGGAGCTGTTAGCAGGAGCCACAAAGTGCCATAGAGACCAACAAGGCCTACAAAAGCAGCCCTGTTTGTTCCTCACTTGCCTTTGGAATGGAACTGGAAAGCCCATGAAGGACTTAATCCTTAAAAATGCACAGAAAAGAGACTGTCTGAGAAGCCAAACTACAAATTACCGTAAGGTAGACTTTGGCCTGTACCCATGAAAGAATTCCCCTCGAGACCTGTGTGCAGAACCTGTACGGGAGGCCCAACAGGACAAGATGCTCCAGCTAAGACATTAGCCTGTGCTACAAGCAGACTGCTTCTGGGAAAGGGTAAAAACAGTGAATACAATTGCCTTTCCATCCTCTACACTGAGTTTTGCAAAGACTTCAGCAGAGCATCTATCTGGTTTTTCTTGGTGCTGGACTGGCTCAGATCCAGGAGCAAAACACAAGCATAGACATGAAGGTTACCTTCAAAGAGAGAGAATGGCGTGTCTGGAGTCCGGCATCCATGTTGACCATAGCTTAAACACCACTCTGCAAACTGAGAAAAGTGGAACAAAAAGTGTTCAGATTTTGTTAAAGATGGCTCTTTAAAAAAATACCACCCTCATCCTCACATTATCCCTTGCAGAGTCTGCAGGATATTCTTTGTGTACAGGCTGTCAGACAGTGACTGTGCTGCTGAAGGACTATTCTGGTGGAGCTAGTCAGATCTAGCTGCATCTCTGCCACACTAGAAATTAGGTTTCAAAGGCAAAGGCGGTGACGTAAAAGGCAGAAGTGAATAACGCCCTCTCCCTTCCTTCCACAGGCTCTCACCTTGCAGGCCCTGTACAGGTATTTCATGTTCTGAGTGAGGTTGTACAGTGCTAGGAAGCCATAAGCATTGCCAGCTGTCCCGTGGCACAGCCCGTAGCCTTTCTTCAGTAACCCATGCTGCCAGATCACTTCTGCACACTGCAGGGCATCATTTAGGTACTGCTGTTCCCCAAAGACCTGCAGAGACAAGAAATATTCCCTCTTGCCGGGGCAATTTCCTCCATACAGAGAGCATCCCTGTGTGACTTGGAGGCTTTGGTTAATTAGTTTCTCTCCTACTGAAGTCTTAATGCTGTGACTTTGCTGTCTACTTTAGAGGAGGATGTTTTTGATATGATGAGTGGGGATGTACGACCATTACTTTGCACATAACTAGTTGCTGCCATCAGTCACCTGCAACAGGACATCCCACACAGCTGATGGGTATTTTCAGAAATAATTTTTTAAAAGACTGATTTCCATTTCAGTCAGTGGTCCCTGTGGCGTGATTTCATTATAACAAGCCATCCTACTCTTAGGCAGGAGGGATCTCAACAGAGTCTTCTCCATGATGAAGTTCCACATTTAAGGGTCCCCAAAGAGTCTTTGCAAGATTTCTGGTACCTTGTATGCCTGGACAAGCATGTAGATAACACCTGGTGCCCCATGGCACCAGTGGACGAGCAGGTCTCTGGTGTCATCGATGCATGGAGGGTAATTGCCAGATGGGAACTTGAGCTGGCAGACATAGTCCACGCTGGGTTTGACTGTGTTGTGCAGCTTTACTTGGCTCACTCCAAGGCCAGACTAAGAGAGAGAAAGCGTTAAATCAAGGAGAACTGCCATTCTGTCTCTCCCTAAGAGGCCAAAGATCTGCCTGAACGGCAGAAACAAAGCCAACTATGGCCACGTTCCCTCTTGCTCCATGTAAATCAAGCCATTTCTTTGGTCCAGGCTTTGACACATTACGAATACTCACTTGGCCCCAAGCTGCTCTGCCCTTCGGCATGGACTTACTTGCAGTCATACCCTTGCATCCCCAGAAACAAAGGCTGCCCCTAGTGTGTGACCTGGCCCTCTAAGCAACAGACCTTGCTGCTTCGTTTCCTGAAAACGAGTAGAAATAGTTTCAGGTACCCAGAGCTGGAGTAAAGAGATGAACTGTATGAAAACAGTATTAAGGATAAATACCAGGAATGATTCCTAGCACCTAGAGCATCTTAGCTCTGAGCTCCTTGGCCAGCCCAGCTGGTGGGCTGTGATGCTGCATTTTCACAATGTTTCTGGGTAATTGCAAGGGAGTGACTTCGCTGACCTCAGACAGAAGCAAAGAAGTGGCTTCAGTGTCTTCTTCCAACGACACTGCCCCACATGAAATCTGTGCAGTTCTGACTTCCCACGGCAGACTACAATGAGCACTCTCATCTAAGGATCATGCTGTTCCTAGACTGATAACTTGAAAATTAAAAATCAATACTTGTGCTGTAAAACATTAGAGATAAAAGTCCGGTGTTCTCCTCTCCATGTTTCCCCCAGGGCTTTTTGTGCATCATGCTTGACTGATCCAGGCTCCTTGTACTTCATACAGCAGAGAAGCATGAAGCCCATGAAGTATTTTATGGGAGACTGACACTTAAAATTCTTTAAAACATCTGCCTGGGAACAAGCTCAGGGACTCAGTGCAAATTCGGGCTCACAGCACACTGCTTGTCTCCCCTGCTCCCAACTAGCTGTTCTGTATTCCTGGGCAATAATCACTTCGCATCTTCCTCTTGCCAAATCTCCTTCTACTTAAAAACACCAAACTTCCTCTCTTAGTCACATAAGAGGGTTATATGGTTCTATTCACAGGAACTCTGCTTATCCTCTATATAGGCTTGAACTTTGAGGCTGCTGAAGGAAAGCTAAAATACCTGAAACATGGTGTCTTTTTTTCAGCTGCTGTGAGAGTTGGGTCTAACAAAAGATACCACCTATTTCTATGAACCTTGCTATGTTAAAACAATTTGTGTTGCTCAGTAGGTGCCCTTAATGCTTTGAAAATGCAATGTTATTTATTGTTGTTATTTTTCTAAGAGCTTAAGCACTGTAAATTTATACACAAAGTGACCCACACACAGGAGGTATCACGCTCATTTCAGGGCTAGGGAAGTGAAGATTCCCAGAGCTCCACTGAGTTGTGCAAAATTGTGAGAAAGGCAGCATCAAAGCAAAGGGGCGCTGCAGCTCCCAATCTCTTGTCTTGCCCTCCCTGCTTCAGGTGCTATAGAATTCAGCTGCTCTATCAAAGTAAAAAGTGCCACTTCTTTAACATTTAAATAGAGGCCCTGATTTGGAAACAAAGGCATTTCCCACTTTCCTACTATGAACACGGTCTCTTTTGCCATGCTTTTCTTACAGAGATTCTCATTCTGTAATGATCTAAGATTGCTCCAAGTGACCACCTCAGAAAATGCAGGAAACCCACAGATACCAACAAATGTGAATACTTCATAAGCAATTAATGCATATTTTATAAGCAATTAATGCAAGAGGGGGAAGCTCAGACCCAGCTGACCTACAGGGCTTCATTATGTGAAATTGCTGGTATAATGCAGGCCACCTTTCCTTATCAATAGCCAGGGAGGTGGGAAATGCAATCTCACACACTTATAGAGAAAAACTTCAGAAGTAGGGATGCGTGATCAAACCCAGGAGTAAGTCCATCAGACAAGACATCTTGCCCAGTTTGACATCACCAAGAACCAATTCAAATGCTCTGCCTTGTTCAAAGAAATGTGGAACAGCTGCTAAAGGCCCCTCCCCTCCAGTGCCTCTTACCTGCATGAGATAGTAGTAAATCCCAGCCAAACCATGGGCTGCCCCTACATAGTACTCCTGGTACCACTCATACATCAGTGGACTCTTTGCTGTAAAGTTCCTCCTTTTGGCCAAGCTCTCTCCTGAGGCTACAACGGCTTCACAGACCTGTGGATGGGAACAGATGCAGGTGAGAGAAATGCTGTTGTCTTGGACACAGCACAGTGAGTATCCGCGCACAGAATACAAAGAGTTATTTTTTTGTGCCAAGCAGAGGGAGGAGTGTGGGCGAGGGAGTGAAATGTACACCAATTCAGGACTGCCTGTTGATTTATGTGGATGGCAGGGGGGCGTGTGGTGCTTTGTCCCTTTGGGAGAAGGGCAGAGGGATACCAAGATGTGGTTTCTCCCTCGTTGCCAGAGTTCTCCACGTCTAGCATTGATTTTTACCTGCTCAAAGATGAGCTGCACGGGAAGAGAGCTAACAAATCAGCAGAAGCCACAGTACCTGTTGAATGTGACTTGGAGGGATCTTTTCCTCTCCAAAGTGCTTGTTGACAAATACCAGTGCATAGAGATAGCCCATGCGCCCGTACAGCAGTTCATCTGGCACTCGTGGGTCAAGCTTGTGTAGATGGAGCAAACTACAAAGAAAAATTCACAGGGGCGAGATCAGAGGACACTCAAAGCCATGTCACCAAGCAGTGAGACTGGATCTCAAAAACATGGTTTGTTCCCTCACACTGCCTGTGACCTGGGAGTTGTCAGGCCAGACCCTGGGTCTCAGCTTTCCAGCTATGCAAGGTGCAGAATCCCTCTCTCCCCTCTGCTTTTTGTTTGGGTTATTGCTTTAGTCTGCTCACCTCTTTACAATGCAGTTGTACTATGTGCTTGTTTTTTAAAGACCAGCTCTGGGAAAGCTACTTGTGGAGAAACCTGGGCTATAGGAAATGGTCAGCATAAAGTTGTCAACCGTTCAGGAAAGGCTGCCCACCATTACCTCCCTGTGCTGCTGTTGGCAAGGCAGACCCTCTGGCAAAATTACTGTTTTCAGACTAAACTGGTATCTGTTTAATTTGGCTGCTCAAGGAATGCTAGAAACTCAAACTAGTGCTGATGGTATGTGGAAAAATCTCACCCCTTATGCTCAGAAGTCCTGACAGAAAAGCCCCTTTCTCTCCATGCCTGCAAGAGGCCAGGGCTACACTGTCAGGGGAGTGCCTCCATGAGCTAAAAATCTAGGTAAGAGGTGGGGAGAAGCAGCTGGAAATGTTGTTTAACATCAAGCCTCTGCGGCACATCTAAGAAATCTTCGTTAGGGAGAGCTAAGCAGTAGCGAGGACAGCTCAGCAAAGTGAGTGCTGTGAGTGCAACCCCACACTGAGGACTGCTTGGCTGGCACCAGGCTTTAGCCCACAAGTACAGAGCGAGAGGTCTGCTGGAGTCAGATATTTTCTTTGCCATTTTTCTATTATCATGTTGTAAAGATGGTGATATTTCTGTAGTGCTAACAGAGACTGACAGCTCTTCACGCTGTGCTTTGTAGCTCAGTTCATTCTCAATGCAATTTTTCCTTTGTTTTGCCTCTCATCACACTTCCGACAAGGCTGGATGTCCTTCCCTGTCACAGCAGCAGGCAGGGATGTGACTGGTTTTGGCTTTATTTTTCTGTTCACCCCTGAGACAGCAATCTGAAAAATGCCATCATTTTTAAAACACCAGCATAAGTGGCTTCACAGCTGTTCCCTCAGCTGCTTTCTGCTGTGGCTGCAACAGGGAGAGGCCTAAGAAACCAGCCAAGAGAGCTGTGTGTGTGCAGGCTTCCCTGTCACAGCACCGTGCTGAGCAGAAAAGGTGCCTTGGCAGCCTTTGCTCCTGGGCAGAAAAACGTGCTGCAAAGGAAAGAAGCAACCAAATGTCCAGAGTACCCTCGAAGCAGAGAGAGGATGCTGGGCTGTGACTCCCCACAGCAGGAAACTCTCCCTTGGCACTGGGCTCAGAGGGAGCAGGGATATTGCAGGAGAAAGGAGAGCACAGTATCTCAAGGCAGATTGGCTTATTCTCCTCATGTACCACTTGAGATGTGCATTGCTCCATGGGGGAGATTTCTCGCGCATTAAACTCAAGGGACAGACTTTACATCCAAGACTAGCAGTAAGCAGGGGTCGGTCTCTCAGCTGTGTAGGCTGAAAGGAAAGCCCTGCTGCCTCCTCATGTCCCCTGTCCAAGGAAGGCTGATGATGATGAGGGTTTCCAAGGAGGAAAACAGTGTTTCTACAGATGGGACTCTGCCAAGCAGCAGGCTGGCCAGAATAGATGCTGGCTGGTGATGTTGCTCAGCCCTGTCAGGGATGTCAGGGAAATGTCAGGTGCAACAGAAGGGTAATAGCTATGGTAGGGATTTTCTGAGGTCTGGATGTGAAATCTTTTTTTCGTGGGGAAATCTGGAGCAGCTGGAGCTACTATTCTTGCTCCTTATGCATTACTGATTCTACTTCTAGCTGTTTTCCCTGCCAGGATAATCAGGGGAGGAAGCCCGCCAGTGGTTCTTTTGTTTTTGAAATGTGGGGCAGGGCTGCATGGCATGGGATGCTGCTGGACTGATTGCATGCAGAATGCATTTCTCAGGTGCGAGGGGGTAAATCGAGGTCCCTGAAAGGAAGAGCCACTCCTGCTCACATATCAGCCTATTACCTCAACTGTCAAAAATCAGTAGTTTCTAGACAGAGGGAAAGTGAGGCAGCTGTAGAGCGAGATGGGATTTTTGTATGCCACTGGCTCTAAAAGCAAATCTCTGACCTTCTGATTTGGTGGGAGGTGGCAAGGAAAAGAGGACTCTTGGAAGATGGCTCACATTTTCATAGGCTCTTCGAAAATGGGCTGCCCTGAAACGTTAGTCTTTCCAGAGCATAAAGTACATTTGATGGTCAGGAACTCATTTAGGGAAGAGCAAGGAGCTAAGAAAAAGCAAGCTTCTGTCTCTTCCACTGCAGGTAAAACCTGGCTGATGGATTCTCTCCTCAGGCTCTGTAAAGATGAGGTGCTTTAAAAGACAGAACAAAATGGAGAGAGGCCCTCCTTCTCCACAGCTGTAATAGAAATGCACTTTCTATGCACTTGCACTGCATAACTTAGCCACTGTTCTGTAACTAAACAGCATACTTAAAACCCACTTCAGAGTTTTGATTAAGGGAGCTATTTCTCAAAGATATACTCTCTTTTTAAAGGTAGCACCATCAGGCTAACTGCTCTGAGAATTGGTGGCAGAGTAAGGACAGTATAACTATTCCTTGGAGAAAGCCACATTTTTCTTTTTTCCTCCTTTCAGATGTATGAAGAAACCAATTTCTAAGGCTCTGCCTTTATTATCCCATTAGGTGGCAGTGCAGAATTAACCATGAGTTTCCATTCTGTCACAGAACTGTAGGCAGAACAGGAGGGATACAGGGAGGGGAAAGCTACATCAAGAAAACATCAAATTAGGGATGTTTCACAACTTGGGGCTTATGCATTGACCACAACTGGCCAGTACTGTTTGACAGATTAGTTCCTTTTTTGTTAGCAAATATATTAATCATAGTGAGATTCACCACTTTGACACAATATTAAGCAAAACATAAACCGCAGATAATTTCAAGAATAAAGATGACAGTTCTGTCCTCAGACTGACTGTATCCACATAAACCAGAAGCTATTCTTAGTTAAGGGAGTGGGAACTTGGTGTCCAAACCATACAGGCACCTCTGATTCCCACCCATGGCTTTCTTAATTGATATTACGCATCACTTGCTCATGGCTGTTTAAGGGCACTCAGTGTTGTTCTGAAGTGGTCAGGGGTTTTGTCTTGGTTTTGTGTCGACCACACGTAAATGGAAACTCTTTAGGGGGCTGTTTCTCACCTTCTCAAAACTGATCTCCCTTAAGCAAGAAAGCTCGCAACTGCAGCTCCTTAACTTTTTTCTTCCTCTGCCACATGCTGATCTGACTGTAGGACTGCTTGTTTGTCCTTTTCATGTCTTAAGTACCCAACAAAAATACTTTGAAAACAGTTGAGGAAAGGCAGGAAGTAGAAAGAAATGAATCATAACCAGCTGCATTCAGCAGTTGAAAGGGATGCTGTTGATCTTTGGTTAAGTCAAAGTCAAGCAACATATAGCAAGTGGAAGCAAGTGATAATCTAATAATTCTGCCACATTTCTCCTTTTCATCCAAATGGCTGTAAAGTTAAATTTAAGGGTTCTGAAAAAATACGAAACCTCACCTTCTGTGTTTTTTTTTATTTTATTTTGGTATTTTTTTCTTCCTGCATTTATCAGAATTATTTGTAAGATGGCAATACCAGCTGAACAGTATCCCTGCTCCCCAGGCTGCAGGCTGCCAGGCAAGCATGTCTGTCCTTAAGCTAGCTCTTTCAACAGGGCAGAAAAAGTTTGCGATGCCTTGCTAAGTTACTGGATTATCTCTCACGTAAGACTGTAACAAAATGTATTTCAGGCTTGGTGGAGAGTGCCCAGTACAAGCCCAGACCAGCTCTGTAAGAGGAACATTAGGTCAAAGACATAACCAAGTGTTTTACCGAGTGATGCAGTCTTCTGACTGCTTCTGGTTCTGCAGTTTGTGGTAAACAACAGCAGCCACTGCCAGGGGCCCTGCATCTCCACACAAGAAAGTGATAGATCGTCTTGTCAGACAGCTCAGGCTCTTCTTCACGTACTCGTGGGCCACCTGAAGGTAGGCTGGGTCTCCATACACATCATACAGGTGCAAATACAGCAAAGCAATGCCTGCAAAAGGAACATAAAGGTTGCACCCACCAGAAAAGTTTACCCTTCCCGCTATGCACCCTGGCTGTTTTAACAAACCCAGAAGCCTGGCCCTCAGCCTCATCTAGGGCATAAGTCTTATAGACAGGCTTCTCGGGCACATCCAGGTCCGTAACCCCTAGCTGCAGCATCCACTGCTGCTTTTCTTTTGTGACCTCCTTGTACCTGATGCTGCTCACAAGTGGATTGCAGGTCAACACAAACAGCAGTGTCTGACCCAGGAGGTCCAGGAGGACAGCAGAGCTTCCATACATAGCTTATGTACAATTTTAGTAGTGAGGAGCAGAAGATAGACTTAGACAAACCCACCTAAATTTATCAACTGTACCTGGGCCTGTTGCTAAGTAGTGGAAGGGGGTAAAAAAAAAAAAAAATCATCTTTGGGCAAGACGGTACTTGTGGCAGAGCAGTGCTCAGTTATTACCCTGTCTCAATTATTTTTTCCCATGCCAGGAGGTAATGGGCTGGGTCATTCAGCTTGGATTGGATTTTTTAAAAAGTGACATGTCATGAGCTCTGAGAAGCAGCACCCTTAAGACATCCTACTTGGCTCCTTTTTTTTTTTTTTCTTCTTCCACTGGGAAGCACCAGTAAGGTTGTTACAACTCCCTGTACTTCACCTCCTGCTGCTGAGTAGGTCCCAAGACCTAAACCAAGGACGGGTGCGTTCTAGAAAAGAAAGGGGTTGCTTGATTCTCTTCTGCAGCACATCATTTGTGAGATCAGCCCTTGTCTGAAACATAAACAGCTACCTGGAATGCTGGAAAAGGCTGCATGGTCCTCCCTGGAGGTTTTCAATGGGCTGGCCAGCTACAGAAACAACTCCGCTCCTGAGAAATCACATCAATTGCTGTCCTTTGCCTCTGCTTCCCCTGTCTTCATCCAGCTCTTGAACCTTTCGGTAGGTAGCTGAGGAGTTTCCTCAGTAAGTTTGTGACTGAAAGGTCTGACACATTTGAACCATCCTTCTGGTCTAGAAGGCATCCTCAAACACGCACTGAAGAAAGCTGCTGGCCTACATCACTTTGAGAAAAGTTTATTTCTCCCCTTACCAGTAACCATTTCTAAGATGACTCAGGTCCTGCATTTAAGCCTAAATTAATAGAGACAATCTCTGCAGATTTTGATGTGGTAAGGTGTGCGTGGGGAGCATACTGCAAAGTTACTTTCCATTGGTACTGAGGACGTTTTTTAAATTTAGATCGTTTTCTCATTTTCCATGGGTAATCTCCAAAGCTTTGTGCTACAGACAATTCAATTCCACATGTAT